TTGTTGGTTTCTGAATTCTCCTTAAGCTCTGAATGAGGAAAGTATCAGTTCTACGTGATAGCCTTGAATGATGACTCAGAAAGGAGCCCGTGATTTAAACACTTTAGTTTGTCTAACTTATAAAATGTTCTCATTTGCTAAGATGACACTTCTTTACTTAACTCCAATAATAACCTCAAACTCTAATAAACACTGGGAAAATAAGACGGCAACAGCTAATATGGCAATCTGGTTCACATAGTAAAATAAATTTAGGTTCCTAGCCATGATAAATTATAACTCAGAAATGTTTTGGGCTCTTACCCTGTTTTATTTTTTCAATAGTCATACATTTTAAAAACATGCATGCTTACAATGTAGATTAATTTATGTCTACAGAAGATTGAGAGTAGTTGGCTCTACCCAGAAGTAATTATTCTAGTCTAAAAAGATAATCCACTAAAGCAGAAATCCATTAAAATGCTAGAATTATTCCATCCAAATTTCTGACATTAACATATCACTGAGGAAAATTTTATGACAGCGTGAAACATTATGTATGCATAAATTTAGTGATCTAAATGTAGCAGATAAAATTCTACTTGTAATAAATCCCAAATACGCTGGATTCAAGGTAGTATGTATGTCCTGGTATCCAGTCTTGTCTAATGCTATTTCCTACAGTATTTTTCATCATTTCTTCTTTCCCAGCATAGAATTGTTCCTCTTTTTGAGTACTTCAGAGTTTCTTAATACTTATGTCTCACTTTTACATCTGATGGTCTTATTGTATTACATATTTTATTCCATTCACAAAAATGAATTTCCATATCATAAGGAAATAGCTACATATTCTATTAAATATTCCTTGGAATTCTATTACAGTGGTAATAAGCATAGCAAAAAAAAGCAAAGTATTTCTCTGCAATATAACAACAATAACTTTATAGAACTTATATATAATACTAAAACTTGTTCTTTGTCTAAAAATGTATATAACTATTGAATATCATGGTATCTTGTGATTTGCTGATGTTTGCATATCATGTTTACTACAATTAATGATGTTATATACACCTCATAAAAATATAATAACTGAAATATTAGATAGACTGACTGTTTACTATATTATGCTATGGCAAAGAATGCCTAGCAGACTTGCCTAAAATGTGTTATGTTTGTACTGTTTTTTTCCCAACTCTGCATTTTAAAAATATATTAATAAATATCTATAAGATTTTGAATTATCTTCCAAAATTATATTACTATTGGGTTAAAATTAAGTAATTAAATATTGCTAGTATCTGTAGTAATTAATTAACCTTAATACATTCCAGAACAGTTAATACTAGACTTTGGGAGGCTAAACAATATTTTGTAATAATTATTACTAGTAAATTAGCATTTTTCAAAAGTGATCATTAACTTCAAAGTGATGAATATCATCACTTACCAAATCACAACCAAATTAACATATTTTTCATTTACATTTTTATTAGTTCTCAACATTAGATAGAAATCCCTCTTGAAAAGTTTAGATTAGTTGACATAGTTTTAGAGTTTGTTACTGACTGAGCTCATACAAAAGCACGTGCTACCTGTTAAATATAACTAATGGGTTTTTGTGTTGTAATTTTAAGACATTTTTCTGAGAATATATTTTATTAGAGACTAAGAGCACCATATAATTTATCATTTCTAATCAAATATGAATTTTAATTTCAGAAAAGGTAAAACTGAAATAAATCAACTCATTTATGTAACATTATGAATGAATGGGTTTATACATTCTTATTATAAACTCAAATGACAATCTAACATTAAAAATAAGACAAAATACTAGAAATCTTTAGCATATTTACTTATAAATTAAATTGTAGGTGCATTTTTGGTAAAAGCTACTAAATGTTAGGATAATGACATAATCTATTTTAGACTTTCTGTTTTTATACTTTTATAAAGACTGTATATGGCTCCATGTGATTTAAAACTTCAATATCATCATCATCAACCTCTGGCTTTAAAATATTTTTATGAGAAAAAATGAGGATTAAAAGAAACAAAAAGGATTAGAACTCTCTTGCTCTTGAAAGAATCAATGAAGCTACACTGCTTGGTCTCTACTGCTTATCAGATTGGACCCTATTTTTACCATAGTTAATGGAGCCTAAAAATTAGATAACATTTAAATACAAGATTTAACACAAATCTATTTTTGGTTTTGTGAAAATAATCATAAATTCTGGTATTGTACAGAGCATTAAACCAAAAAAGACATTTCAAAATATTCAACAAAGTTTAGTTGTGTAAACAACCTCAACTATGTAATATAGGTTTTAATGAAAGTAACTTCTCAAGTACATAATCATTCTTAAGGCTGAGCTGAGTCTGGGCATCCCACTGTTGCATCCATATGATGTAGACTTTTTAGTTGGATCTGACTGTAGAGACCAGCACTGGAGACAACCATCAGAGAGGAAATGATCGATTAAAAAAGAAAAAAAAAAAGTACTGTATCCTAAACTGCTAAGAAGCCAACACAACACTTACCTACAGTAACACATTTTCTAGAAACTTTGTGATTGAACCATTGGTGGTTATTTTAAGGCTAAGTACTAGTCACACAAAGAAATTTAGATGATCAATAGATCTGGCCATCATCTACAAATTTTGTCAGTAATAAAACTCTTTATGATTCATATTAAAACTCTTTAAAATTAAAATTCTAGAAAGGAGAAACTATATAGATTTAACCTCATTACATTTATAAATAAAATGTATAGCCAGGTATACAATGTTAAATGTCATCTTAGTGAAAAAATGTAATAACATTTCATATAACAAGGAACCAGCAATTGATGTGAAACACCCTTAAGACCATGTTTTCCAAGATGACTCTCATTCCTATCAAGTTTCACCAATTCTTCCAATTTTAAGAATTTTCAAAGAAATTTTAAAATTTAAAAACTTTCCCTGGCAACTCCAGTAGTCCTTCTTTAACAAAATATAATCAATTTAACTGCTCAGAGTGAATGTTTTAAACACAGTCTTATGAAATAATTATTACATCAAATCACTGTCAGTGTTTTTTTTTTTTTTTTTTTTTCGTATACTTCTTGTCCTTCTACAGTATACCCCAGAGCAGGTCATTTATTCATGTGTAATAAAAATCCTGGATAGTAGAATTGATTGGGAAACTTTGACTCTCAAGCAAATACAGAACTATTATTATTAAGAGAAAACAATGCACAATTTTTATAAGACCAAAACCCCAAATCCAACATATAAGAAAAATAAACACAAAGTGGTTATATTTAAGGGCAATTCATTAAATACAATGAGTTTAACTTCATTATACTTTCACATGGATTACAAGGTTCACCTACTACAAGAAAGCTAATAATTGAAATGATTAAAAATATAATGGAGAATTCCTAGTAAAGAAATAAAGGTTATGTGTGATAATTTGGGCAAGGTCACATTCAAGGCAAGACCTATGAAAAAATTCTTGCTATCATGTCCAAAGTTTCAGTAAAGTAAGCCTCCTAGCAAAGCACATCTGAAATAAGCAGAACATTAACAACGTCAGAACCAACATAAAATGTATATTAATAAGAACATCAGTCCCATATAAATACACCTGAAAGTGGATATTGTAATCTATGCTTTGCCAAATTTCACTGTAATGTTTTATTCTGTAACTTTTCATCTCTTTAATGCATCAAACTGTAAGGACTCTGGAAGGCTTTCTCAAGAATACTTGGTCATTTTGCTCATTCCCTTCTCCATCTTTGGTTTTGTTATTCTTGGAGAAATATCACACTTGGGAAGTACATATCTACCATTAGGGTATATCACATGGCAATACTTAGAGCCTGTGTACTTGCCATTAGAACATAATGCATACCACAAGTGCAAAAATTAACCCATTTTAAAACTAGTTTAGTTTAACACATTTAATTTTCTTTCAGCCTTCAACAAACATAATCATTAACCACTATATCCTTTGTTGCACTGCTGTGTCCCTCCCTTCCTTCCGTCCTTCCTTCCTTCCTTCCTTCCTTCCTTCCTTCCTTCCTTCCTTCCTTCCTTCCTCCCTCTCCCTTTTCTTTCCTTCCTCCCTTTTTCTCACTTTCTTGTTTGCACAATACTCATTGAGTTAAATTTCCTGGCTTATTCTGGTGAGTTGAGTGCACGGCACTCCCCTAGAAAAGACCAGAGGGACATTTCTCACCAGCACTAGATTTGTCTCAGGGGACAAGTCACTTCGTAACACTCTGCAAATGTCAACAGAAAAAGTAAATTGTTTCCCACTGCTTCTCTTATGACCTACTCCTTATCAGCTAGGAAGTTAGACCGAACTTTCTTTATTTCCTCATTACTCCAAGGGAAAATAAAACCAGGCTAAAATTAAATAAAAGCTGGATTAAGGTATAGCTAAGCATTAACATATAAGCAGAAATATTACCTTAGATTGTAAGGAAAGCACAATGTCAGATAAAAGTCACAGAAATATTTTCAGTCAGCCTTGTTGGTCACAACATTCTTTTCAGAGATTTTTTTGTTTTGTTTTGTTTTCCTTTTGGGGCTTTCTCAATTTGTTCTCAGGAATAAACTTGGAGAACAACGGTTATGTGTTAAACAGTCCAATTCTGTATATATACACTATATGAATCAAACTAGTATATAAAATTTTCAACCCACCTCAAATGATCTGTCAAATTATTGCATTTTATTGTGGTCTACAATATGCTTAAAATGCATAAAGGACAAAAGGAAAACTAGAATTTCAGTATCCATTAGGATCGCTCTATGTAGGCCATATTGGTAAGAAGCACCCTGGCAAGGACTTGCATTTTGAAAGTGGTCTTAAGCAATAACTAGCCCACACCTTGTATTTGGTTTAGCTTAAAAAATGATGGACACGGTCTCACATTCATAAATACACTGAACCACACACACACACACACACACACACAACACACACACACACACAAACACACACATATATAAAAACTTACACAATTTCATCGTTCTGGAATTCGAGCTCTCCACAAGTGTCCTCAAAGTCCTCCCCTCCACCTCTGGCAGTCCCTTCGATGGTTTTGTAGGGCACGATAACATTTCCTCGTGCTCCAGATGTTCTCAGTACTTTGACCTCCATGATGCCAATGCTCTCACTCACGTGGGTCACGGGTTCCTCAAAAGTAAAGATGCCTGCGTGGTCATCATCAAAAATAGTAACAGTGGCAGTGGAGGGCGACCCAAGGCAAGCAAGGGTAGAAATGTGGTTGGCTTCCAGTATGCCATCCTCAGAAGCCTCAGAAGACACTTTGACGTTGCTCAGATGCACAAGGAAATTTTCATCCTCCTCAAAGATATCATCATCAATGATGCCAACTCTGATTTCCTTTTGTGTCTCACCAGGCTTAAAGACGACAGTTCCTTCAGTAAATTCATAGTCAGACCCAGCATTTGCTGTGCCATCCTCTGTTCTGAAGTCAACGAACACAGTGTTGGTCAAATCTCCACCTCTGCGGATAATGGTCAGGGCCACTGTACCACAGTTCTCCAGACACTGATATGTCCCTTGTTCAAAGAAGATCTTACTAACAGGGTCATTTTCAGCCACTTCTGTGTTGACCTCATGCATACTGACAGCCTTCCTGGCTTGGTCAGCTGCGTGCCTCTTTAAAATGTTGCCGGCACCGGTCATCAGGCGAGTAGCTTGAATTCGGTAAAATGCACGACTCTTTTGCTGCTGACTTAAGACTTGGTAGTTAGCTAATTCTATCAATTGCTCTATTTCCTTCTCTGGATGCTTCTGCTTAAGTTCCTTCAGAATTCTCGCCATTTCTCTCCTAGCTTCTTCATCATCTTGATCCCTCTCATCCACCTCCAGAACCAGAGCACCATCTAAGAAATTCTCAACGTGAGAGTTCACTACCTTTCCATCCATTTCGATTTCAGTTTTGGATGATGGTCTGTCTCCTTCGTGTTCTATAATCATGCCCCTCTGCTTGCCAGCCCGATACCTCTTGTAGACATACTTGTAAAACAGAAGCCTCCTATCTGCTACCCACGCGAACACAACACAGATGGGAAAGAAAAAGAAAGTAAGCAAACCTTCCCAGACCTCCACAACACCAGGAGAAATGACAGACAGAATAATGTAAAGCCAGGTATAGGCAAAGATACTCCAGGCTGCCGTCACAAAGAACACACGCAAATGCTTAATCTTCCTTGTCTCTCCATCAGGGACCACATAAACACACAGGGCAATGATGATGAACATGTTGAAGGCAGCACTTCCCACGATGGTGCTAGGACCAAGGTCTCCTGCAGTGAAGTTATGGCCACACACTTCAATTACTGAGAGGAGAATCTCGGGAGCAGAAGATCCTAGGGCCATCAAGGTCAGGTTAGACACAGTCTCATTCCAGATTCTCACAGTGGTCTTGGTGGTCTCTCCATTGGGTTTCTTTATGGTTATTTCTTTTTCTTGAGATGTGATGACTTCTATGGAGGACATGAACCTATCAGCGATGATAGAGACACCAAGAAACATGTAGACCATGGCCACAAAATACACAGTTGCTCTAGCAATTTTGTCCCCAAAAGAAGGGTCTTGAGGCTCCCAAATGGGCAGAATCACCCCTTTCTTACAGTAATATGAGCCAGTACATTCACCGGTTTCATTTCCTTCTTCCACCATTTCTGTCTCAGCAGTTATGTGGTCCACATGGGAAATTAGGAGAGTCATCATAGCTAATAGATGAAATCCCAATGAATATGTGGGTGAGAGACTTAATCGCAGCATGTTGTACAATGAAACTTCCAAATGTCCCAACCTACTGGTAAAAATAGGATGGGGGAAAGGATAGAAAAAATCACATCATTAGAGCCAAATCCAAAGCATGACTAGTTGTTAATTTTTATCACTATTATAAAAAATTTGTGTGTAAGTTTGACCATCACAAAAACCTCTGGTGAATCATTTTCTAAGAATTATCTGCTGATTAAGCAATCCTTTGTAAAATTCACAATTCCGTGTCTCTGTTTGTGGATTTTTTACATGTTGTCTCATTCACTGAGCAACTCAATTTCTGAAAATAAAAAGTCCAATTATAACCTGGCCTTTCTGAGTATATATTTATGCATGCTAATAACCAGGAAGTATGAACAGCAAAACTTCTGAAGGATTAAATAATTTTTCCTTATGGTTAAGCAGGTTTTCTTTTAAATTTGGTAACTGCATTACCTTCAAGAAACTGTTTCATTGACAAAATCACTTTATTAGGTAGGAGTCATTGTTTAAAATTCAGACTCTGCAAAAACCCCTACCAACCAAATGTGATGATTATCTTAAATTTAAATGTACACATTGCATTGTATATCATGATCTAAATCACATCCTACTGGATCTAAATTTACTTGAAAACACAGAGAAATCTCCAAGCTTACCCGCAATCAAAACTCAACACTATTAGTTTTTGAGAGGAAAAGTACTTCACTATAATGCTGTATTTCCACACACACACAAAGCAGGTTTTAAAAGCATAATTTGATGAGAGCACATTTCTTTTTAAGTTTTAGCCAAGCCCAGGTCTCCTAATGCATCAGAGTGGGGTATCTGCTTCTACAAGCACAGCCTTTCACAACTACGTATGTAGCCCACTGTAGCATCTGCAGGCTGTCTGCCACAGGAACGAGAAATAACCAGGTCTCAGCCTAGTTGTGTGTAATCAGCATTACCAGCCATAAAACGTTCCTTCTTGCAGTTAATGTTATATTTCCCATGGTCAATCCAAAACACACATTATTACTATAGTGGGCTTAAGTGACTATCTAAATCAACTCCAGTAGCATAACAACAGCAACAACAAAGTATACGTATATTAAAGATATTAATTAGGAATATGGCAACAGGGTCACAGAACAAAAGAATGTAAGCAAAGTAGGGAATAGAGTCCCTGCACCCCTAAATTCACACCCTATCTCACATAAAACTCAGCTCAGACCTCGCACCCCCTCTGCCTCCTGGGCTGGGGGCATGGGGGTAAGACTGGGACATGGACAGAGAAGTGGGAGAAGGACTGCAACTCTCATCTGGAAGCCCTCAAGGAGGGACCCATGGCAATATCTATCTGCAGGGAATGGAAGGCGGTTCCGAGTCAGAACACAGCCTCATGGCCTGGAAAATGTTAACAGAAAAGCTGGGTTAGAGGCTGTCACAGTGCCAGGCTGGCTGAGAGCCACTCATTTGCACTAATATTCTCTGGCCTGCATTTGCTGCTCCTGGCTTTTGGTAAAACCTGCACTTATTTTATTTATTTGGTTATTTATTTTTGTCCAGGAGAAGCCCCCTGCAGGGCACATCCTCATGGATCCCTGGAAATCCTACCACAGCCACCGGCCTTGCAGTCTATCACTAATGAGGGATGAGATCCTTTGACATTTTTCTTATAATAAAACAGTAAGAGGTTTTAGAGGGCAGACATCCAATCTAAGTAAAAGGCTGACAAATAGAAGAAACACACTTTCAAAGTATATAAAGGTTTATGGCCAAATTGCCTGCTTCTTAGGGTCACTGCAGAGTTTGGGCGACTTTGGGGACCTCTGCTTAAAATCAGATTACATACAACCAGCCTGCCAGGAGAATGGAAGATCTAGTGTTAGCTTCCTTATGTCTCCATTTATGCCACAAATGTTTATGTGTGCTCAATATGAATTTCAGAATGACTTGCTACACTCTCTTCTAGTCCTGAGATTTCACCAAGGAATAGAAGAAAGTCTCTGTTCTCACTGAATGTACAGCCTAGTAAGGAGAAAATAAACAAAATAATTAAATATGAATGTCAGTTGCTAAACACTGCTGCCATGGGGGCAGGGCAGACTCAGTCTAACAAGGACAGGGACTCTGTGTGTCTGTTGCATGCATGGCACACATGATTTTATACTAGTTGGTTAAAAAAAAAAAACTCTCAGATAGTGTAACATTTGAGCAAAGTCCTAAGGAAAGCCAAAAATCAAGCTTCATGCATATCAGAAAGAAAACCATTTCAAGCTTTTGCAAAGGTCCCCATGGCAATACTCCTAGTATAGTGCACAACTACAGAGAAACCAATATGACAAGAAAGAAATTCAGGAGGAGGACAGGAAAGGGACACAATTGGAATGGGTCATAAGAGCATCAAGACCACAGCAAGGTATTGATTTTCATGGAGAGGGAGATGGAAGGCTAGGAGAGATTCTGAGCTGAGTGTGATATCTGGCTTTCCTTTCAGAAGGAATATTGCTGATCCAATGAGGAACACACCATAGGGGCAAAAACAGAAATAGGGGGACCAGCTCTTGCCCACTGTGATTAAATCTTATTTAAAAGTGATCCCGGTGCCTGACTGGCATACAAAATGATACAGCAGACAGCTCACATTGAAAAAGTTGAATATTTCCAATGATTCTTTCGAAAGATCTGCAATTTTAAAATGTGTTGGGGACACGTGTAAGGATTAGATTGGTTAAATATGTTTAATGAACAATGGTACTGAACAGAGATAGTAAACACTAAAGGAAGATTTAAACCTCTGCCTGTCTCCAAGACTGATAAAATTAACCACTACTTTCAAATTTCTGCCAAACTCATCACTCCACTTTTCAGACAAAATGAACTTCCTAAACAGCATACTGTATCTGACACTCCTTAAAATTCATCCTTGGTTGCCTACTGTATTTCCCTGTGGTCAAAGTTCATACTCCTCAACACTCTGCTCAAAACCTTTTATGATCTGACCTCTGAACTTCCACTCCCTCAGTAAGACTTGCTCATGTCTACGTTTTTCACATAGTGTTTTCTGTACTCAAAAAGTGTTTTGCTCTTTTGCTCCTAGAATCAAGTTTCCAAGAAGAGCCCAATAGCCAATCATAGTTAATTTCCCAAGAAACTAATATTACTTTTTTTTCCTTAAGAGTGCTGCTGGTTTCATGCTAAATTCTTTGCATGCACCAATTATACTTGTAATAGAAAAACCAGCATTTCTGTGTTACAAAATTCCTAGTGTTGCCATTTTCATTATAGACTTTGCAAACAGCACTTCCTGGAGGTGTGCAGTGCCCAGTATCCAACAATAAAACTGTATAGTGGGTACTCTTAGCCCATTCTTAAAGTGGGATAACTGAGGCTTACCTAGGTTAAAGATTTGCTGAATGACATACAATAGACTCCTAAATTATAATTCAAAATTCTGGTCTGTTTCCAACACTGATGTTAACTGTTCCATTAGGTCACTTAGTATGAAAAATAATCTTTAGTTTAGTATGAAAAATAATCTTTGACAACTATTGGACTTTGGCTTGAACAGGCTCTTAAATTGCCAGATTAGGAAAGTCTGTTAGCAATAGTCTCTTGGAACGTTTCCAACAGCCTGGCTTTTATCTTAAGGATTAGAGACTCAAGTATCAATGACTGGGGTAGAATAAGGGTTAACCTGTGCCTAGAGACAGCTGTCCTATGCTCCTTGGCCTTTAGAAATTGCCTGGAAACCTCTTCCTGTGTGCACTGTCACAGCAATCTCTGAGGTCAGCCAAGAAAATGTCCTGCCTTCTACCCCTGCTCTGGCCCCAGGTCACCGTATGCTTTTAGTCAACATAGTGACAGGATCGATCAGGAAAACTCTAATATCACTCTCAGAGAAAAAAAAGTGAGGGGCTTCTAAGGTTACCTAAAAATATCATAATTACATTCAAAAAGAGACAGCATTATAATTTGTGAAATCAGTGAACACAAAACACTGATGTAACTTATTGGCAATGAAGCAACTGGAAAGAACTCTCCAGAATTCATTTTATTCCTCTATTAAAATTAATACCAAATCCAAAGGCTTGTAAGGATATGCAATACGTGTTACCTAATGTGAGTTCCTTTTTTTCTCTCCTTTTGTAGCCTTTCTTTCATGGTCTAACTCCCATTATCAAATTCAAGAAGTTTTACCTCGCCTTCCTCATTGCCCCTCTAAGCAGAGAGCATAGATACTTTAGTTTGCAGTCTGCCCTTGCATTTGTCCTTGATTTCCTGAATGCTGGAAAAAGGAGTAGGATAGTTTTTATGGTAGATTCAGATCAATTCCTATCTATGGCCAGTGATCACTTCCAAAGGTTCACTTAGGAATATCCACATCGTCCAAAGGAGTCTTCAACACACGTAAGTACCAAGAGCACCTGAATTTTCTTCTGCTCATTGTTTATTGTAAAATAAAACAGTATGCACTACAGATCAAAAGCCTGAGTTCACTGACAAAAAAGTGGTACAAAGATATCTAGCTGCCAGGAATCCAAATGCTACAATCTGCAGTGGAGGAGGAGGGGGAGGAGGTTACAAGAAGTACGACTCTGCCATAAAGAAAGATAAACCTGGGTCATTTGTAGGGAAACCGATTCATCTTGAGACCATAATGTTAAGTGAAATAAATCAGACACACAAGCTTAGCCACCATAGGATTTCGCTTATATGAGAAACCCAACACATAGATAAAGCACTAAATAAAAGATCAATAATAGGAAAATAGGGAAGAGGATCGAGGTGGAGAGTGGAAGAGGGGAAAGGAATGGAAGAGAATTAAGATGTGTCATGAACATGTGCCAACTACCCACAAAGAATGTCATCATTATGCATTGCAAAAATGCACTAATAAATTTTTTAAAAAGAAAAGAAACACATACCTGCAAGAGAGATGCTTATAAAGGCCTGCCTTTGTAAAAGATGAGGAAGAGCCTCCTTAGCAAAAAGGCCTACAGACAAACTGCCTGTTCCCGCCGGACACTGTAGCCAGCGTTGACTCTCAAGAAGCGTCTGACT